GTTTAATACCAATCTAATTAAGAACGACATAGACATGCGGAGATCCTCCACTCGTTTTGTTCAGATGAATGATGTTATCGTATCATTTTATCAGATAACCGTCATATCTCTACAAACTTGAGGGATTTACTCTAGCCATAAGATTGTTCACTGAAGTATGAATTCTGTTTGAAATCTGCATGACGTTCAGTCTAAGATAGGACCGTTACCTAGGAGATATGACGACGCATATCTTGGGCTTAAGTCACATGGATCTTCTCAGTGTCAGTGAAGCCAAAAATAAGTGACAGGTGGAGAGACACGAGGGTATCTTTGATGACAAAAACAATTTGGGCATTCATACTTTTTTATGTTTTAATATCTATGTGTAAGAAGAGTTTGTTTGTTTGTTTATTTTGAGCCGTCCCTGAATTTAGACATTAGCTAGATATTAACCTACAAGCGACAAGATGCCGTGCCGATTTCATTAAAGACATTATCCAATATTAGTTTCTATGCTTTCTTTGCTCCGAATTAATCCGAAGATTAAAATGAATAAATACCTTAGATCTCTTGATTATGTAACAATAATCCATCACTTCGGGTTGTCACCCAGTCGCAATTTTATCAAAAAGCATGTGACTTAATTCTACCGAAGGTATGCATGAATTCCATCAAAGATCGAAGAAGATTAACCCTGAGACAGCTTATCCTGACCTCATTTTGTCTAACAGTAATATTATCAATGTCAATTCTCATAAACATCTTGGTTTGTTTTTTAACAGCCATGGTTCATGGTCAGATCATATTAATTATATTTATGAAAATAGATGCTCTAAACTACAAATTATGCGAATGCTTAAACATAAACTTGATAGAAAGTCACTTGAAATTATCTACAAATCATTCATAAGGTCATTACTTGAATATGGGAATATTGTTTGGAATAACTACACAGGGTGAAAGTGATCTTCTGGAATCAGTTCAGTTAGACTGCCTTCGAATTATAACTTGGCTAAGAAGAGGTACTAGTCATAACTTGGAATTGATACATTGAAAAAGGGCGTTATGATCATCAATGTATACTATTCTTCAAAATACTGCAGCATGACTGTCCTCATTATCTGTATGAATGCATTGTATCATATTTTAACACTGATACTAATTTCCATCTCAGACACCAAAGATTGTTTGCATCTCCCTTATGTAGAACTAATCTATATAAGAATATTTTCCCCCCAAGTATGATGACCTTATGGAACAAGCCAGACAGTAATTTCCTACAAATGACATCATTAAGACAATTAAAACATGAAGTACACTTTCTTTCAATCCGTGTGATTGTAGCAACATTTTTAAGTATGGTGGTTCAAGGAAATACAATATGATACCATGTCAACTACGTAACAATGCAAGCCAACTTAACTATGATTTGTTTATGGATCATCTACCTGATAATCCAAATTGTATTTGGGGTGATTATATTGAAGATGTAGGTCACTTTTTCTTTACTTGTCCGAAATACGTCAATGAAAGACAAATTTAGTGAAATTAGTAATATCAAAATTGATATTAATCTCTTTACAAAGGGTGACATTGACTTAAGTGCTCATGCTAATGTTTTATTCTCTTCTGTGTCTTGGAATACATAGAAAAATCTGAAAGATTTCACTAGCTGTATTATATTAATTATTATAATACTTATTACTAAATGATTCCGTACAGCTCCTGTATATAGCTATCTACTAATCTTAGTAACAGTAATCGTCCCACATGTAGCTGTCTGCTAATCTTAGTAACATTAACGTCACACATGTAGCTATCTACTAATCTTAGTAACAGTAATCGCCACACATGTCTGTACTAATCTTAGTAACAGTAATCACCCCACATGTAGCTGTCTATTGATCTAAGTAACATTAATCACCACACATGTAGCTATCTACTAATCTTAGTAACAGTAATCACCCCACATGTAGCTGTCTATTGATCTAAGTAACATTAATCACCCCACATGTAGCTGTCTATTGATCTAAGTAACATTAATCACCACACATGTAGCTATCTACTAATCTTAGTAACAGTAATCGCCACACATGTGTCTACTAATCTTAGTAACAGTAATCACCCCACATGTAGCTATCTACTAATCTTAGTAACAGTAATCGCCACACATGTGTCTACTAATCTTAGTAACAGTAATCACCCCACATGTAGCTGTCTATTAATCTAAGTAACATCAATCGCCACACATGTAGCAATCTACTAATTTTAGTATGATTGTTAGTAAAATCTCTTTTGAAATATTGATCTTGTGTTAGAAATGATATCATGAAACAGTTGTCCAAGTTATTAAAGCAATTTAGTTCCGGTCTGTGATATGTTGAAAAGGTAGAAACAAAGTCGCATACTTTCTGCGAAAGACAAACTTGAAATTACATTAAAGTCAAATCATGGATTAAAGTGCACCATACAGTTGCTTCGTCTCTCTCGTGGTAGGAAGATACACTGAACCCATAATTCAATAAATTTCGATTTTTCACATGTTTATGCTGAGCTGATACTCTAATCGAATAACATGGCATGTAAAATACGGAAAAAAATGGAAGACAACTAAATGAATAGTAACTGATTAGAAATATAATTTAGACTTATCCAAATATTAAAACTATTGGAACAAAGTGTCAACATCATCATGATTTAAAATCAAATTCAATAAACATAGGGCAAATATAAACGAAAGAAAGATTTACATCTAGTACAAAGAGAATGAGTTTTCCGGAAGAATAATCGTCTTCTGTATCAATCGCCATGTTAATCTTAGTCAATCCAAGTAAGAAATGTCGCGCTCTTAAATGAGAACAAGGCATACAACAACGGAACTAACCACAATCAAGCAGTCGCCAGTTCTAATTTCATGCTGCGATAAAAACTGTTCCAGCGACCAGTTGTTCCAGGCAATTACATTTGCAGTTTGTTCAGTATGTTATTTTCATCTACCTTGGATTTCCAAAGACAATACTAAAGCGCACGGGAAAACATCACTATCCCCCTTGTAGCTTGAGATTGCCTTGACTGATCATTATGCAATCTATCAAAGTAAGCAATACGTCCTTTTTTGGTGTATAGTAACATTTCCCACGTACATCGTATCAGACACCCAAGCATGTAAGTATCAGGTCGTCATCTTTGGGGTATTGTCAAAAATATGCATGGTTAAACAACGGAAACGTGTTATTGTACCGGTATATTATGTAAATCTAGACGTTTTTCACAGCAGGATGACATTTCTTGAAAAGCTTTATGGATGGCAAGACATTAGATCTGGGCTCTTACCAAGCCGGTAACCTTATTTTTTTTGTGTTAGCATTGATTGTCAGGGTTTAGAAAGTCGACCTTTAAAGGACGTGTTGATACATCAAGTATTCCTCTCGAGAAAACTCGGATCGGTTCGCCTCACAATCAATTCTAATCTTCATTATCTCTTAACATTCACCTTCTATGTAATAAACCACGCCTTAATCTATCATTTTTTGTATACTGGCATGCTTACCTACAGTACGGCAATAACCAACTAATAATAATAATAGTAAAAAAAAAATTGAAGTTTAAGATTCTAAAATACAGAGAAATGCCTTTTGATTCGATACTGAATACGGAAAAAGTCACTCGTCGCTGTGCCACAATACTTAACGTTAAGAATGGAGTAGTAACTACATTATCTAAAGACTGGTATGTTCTGACCATGGGTTAGAAACCAAGGCCTGAAAGTCAAACGCCAATATGATCAATGGGAACACGAAAAAATGGTTGTTTTGAACAAATAATGTTTTTGTTCCAAATTTAATCGTCTCTTTACGAATCATGCAGTGGGAACGGCATGTACAATTATAACACCGTAGCTGAAGGGCGAATTTTCAAAGTGGGAAAGAAATAGGGGATATCATTTTCACATTACAAAAAACTTGAAAATGCAAGGATAGTTGCTTGTCGAGTCTTTAATAATTGTCTTTGGTTGATGACTAATTTGTTGTGCAATATAAAGCAATATAAAAACAAGAATCAAATTCAGAAGCCCTGTTTATGTTTTACGTAATGTGGTGAACGTTGAATACATAGATATATCAAAATGTATGGAAATATCTACCAAATTACGTGGTGAACGTTGAAAACATAGATCTATTAAAATGTATGGGGATATCTACCAAATTATGTGGTGAACGTTGAATACATAGATACATTAAAATCGAACTGAATAAAACATTTAGATTACATTCCTTGGTGTTGGTGGTAAAGATCTCTGGTAATGAAGTAGTCAGTGTAGGGTACGCAAAAAAATTTCTCACTCCTGCCTAGGTAGAGAGAAGTAATGACGAAGATTGATTCATCGGCTGACTTCAGTGTGTCTAATTCTAAGTTATATTAAAAGATGTAATTCACTTGTTTTCTATTGAACAAAATGAAAAAAATGTATCATTGAATAATTAAAAGATAAGACGTGAGGTGGTCAAGACGCAAAGTGTTTTTAGCGAACACGGATAATGTAATCAAGTGCCATATAAATGCTATTTTTATTATGACATGTACATGATATGTAGTTTATTCATAATCCTTTGCAATCCATTCAATTAAAAATATGGATTTGAAATTGTGTTGGTTATCGATTTCTTTGTAGTGTACAGATAATTTGCTGGTCAATATTTCAATGGAACCTTATTGTGGGTTGAAAAACTACAGGCACGATTGGGTAATTTGAAACACATCTATATTTATTTCCACATCAACAATTATCGACTACACATCGGTGTAGTAAAAAACAAGTCATACTACAGTATTTCTGATAAAATGGAACTCCTACATAAGAGATATATACACGTCAAATGAAAAATTAATCCAAATATTAAACCACGATTCAATTATATGTTATACATAGAATTCTAACTAAACAATTCTTTTACAAGATGTGAAAAATCAATGAAGTAAATAAAGACAAAACGTATATATAAATATGACATATCCAATTAAAATGTACAATTGAAAACAATAGAAGTAGGGACAATTTTCGTTTATGATCATAAAGCTAACAATGATATTAATAATCATGCACAAGTTGACAATGATCAAGCAAGTTTGCAACATGATAATTGGTAGAATGGAAAGATTTGAGAAAAAATTCACGCTGAACACATTTACTTAATATTTCATAAAAAATATCTTGCATAGCGCTCAGTGCGAAAAAGGATAAGCTGTGTGTTTGGCCATTATTGTCGACATCTCATGTCATACAGGTCTGTCAGTGTGCGGCTGCCTAATGATATTAATGCTTTTAAAGTGATATTTTACCATATGCATAATGATGTTAACTATTAAAAACACACTGACACATACTAACAATTAGAAAAAAATATAAGACACAGAGATATACTTTTTCCTTAAATACAAACACTGGCATTAAAAAACATGGGTCAGGACCATACACCTTTTAAACAAATGGGATATAAGATATAACCAAGGTCTCACAAACAATAGATTAATATGTTCCTTTTAACAGAAAAGGGATATTTCGGCGGCAGTACCTAGTTCTTTTAAACAGCGAAGCGATACTTCAGGGAAAGTCTCGAGTTCTTATAAACAATTTATGGATACTACACAACGGGCAATATCGATTTCTCAACAACAATGGAGAGGGGGGGGACTTTGAGGGGCAATGCCAACTTTTTATAAACAATTCATGGGTCATCCAGAAGCAGTGTTGAGTTCTCATAAACAATGGAGGGATACAGATATGTCACAGGGCAGAGTTGAGTTCTTCTTAGCAAGAAAGGAACACTTCAGGGAACAATATCCAGTTTCAATATATAAAATGAGGATATTCTAGGAGCATTGTCGAGTTCTTATAAACACGTAGAATAATAAGAAAGCTGTACTTATAAAAAGTAATGAATGATGCTTATTAACATTTGACTAAATCTGATGTAAGATACCAGTAAATGAAATACAAACCATTAGCACAAATAGGTGAATAACGAATGCACATTTAAATGGTCTTAACAACAATTGTATTGCTAATGCAAATTAAAATGATTACTTAAGTCATTCAGGAAAAAAAGGATTGTAAAAAACGATTGATGCAATAGAACACAAATGTCATCTCATTTTGAAAACTTATATTTGAACGCACTAGGGATTTACAGTCACCCAGAAATTTATACCATTGTTTGACCATTAATCTTTATCGTTGTTGTCGATCGTGAACTTTTACATCTTAATTTATTGACATAAATATACTGGAACGCCTTCTGGAAGTCGTTATTGAAAACTGTGTATATGATTGGGTTAAGACTGGAGTTGACGTATCCGAGAACCACCACAAACATTTCAACGGTGGCAGTACCATCCTTCATACAGCTCGGACAAAAGGGCATGATTACATAATACAGAAAAAATGGAAGCCAACAAAAAATGAATGCACCCATGATGAACCCAAGGATCCGAGCTGCCCGCCGTTCCTTGGAGAGGGAAATCCGCTGTTTTTGTTCGAAGAAACTGGATATTTTTTGAGCTGATACTTGGTTGTTATTAACGGCTAAGTACACACGAGTTTCCCCAGAGGATCCGCTAGGGTCGCTCGCAGTCACTGTTTTAGACTTGGCCTTTAAGTGTTTATTTTCTTTCACAACTTGTTCATTGCTTGCTTCGGACGCGGGATCACTGCTGATATTTGGGCTAGGTCGGGTTCCAGACATGCAAGAGAGTTTTGTGGCAGCAGACGCCTTCGCTCTTTCTCGGAGACGTTTCCTTGTTGCCAAAAATATTTTCAGATAAACAAAGGACATTATGGCAAGTGGAATATAGAATGAACCACACGCTGAGTATATGACGAAACCCTTTTCCTCTGTCAGATGACACTCTCCACTTTCAGGATCGAGCAAACTACCGTGTGTTTTATCACTCCATCCAAATAATGGTGGCACGGAAATGGCGGCGCTCGTGACCCAGGCTGCCACTATCATAAACAATACACGCTTTATAGTCCTTTTAGCGGCATAGTTCAACGGGTCATGTATGGCAAAATAGCGATCCAAAGCAATGACACATATATTTAAAATCGACGCCGTACACAATAAAATGTCAAAAGTCAGCCACAGGTCACAAAATGCAAATCCGTAAATCCATTCGTTGAATAATATGTTAGAGATATGGAATGGCATGACTAGTATAGCTACAGCCATGTCGGCAACAGACAGGGAAATAACAAAGAAGTTCTGTACGCTCCTCAGTGGTTTATAGATAAAAATGGCGACCACGACATACATGTTTCCTACAAGTGTCAGGACGATCAAGAACGACAGAAACACTGAAGTAACGTATCCTTCCCAATTTGTATTCGGTGGGAATGAAAAGTTGCTGAAATTGTTTGCCATTTTGTTGTGTCTATCGAAGTTACCACAAGAGACCACAAAATTCAACGGAAATAAATTATCTAGAATATATCAATATGGAACGCCAAATGTTTGTGTTGGAAACTCACTGTTGTTATTGTTACATATCATGTTTTGCAGACAAGTCTGTTATAGTCGATTGTTGATGACACGTATTTTCCAAGCTAAACTTCAATATCTTAAAATACCATGTAATGCATGTACACACACATATATATATGTACTGTCTGGTGTCCTGGGCGAAGTCGTTATTCTGCCGTTCAACTTGAACACGCTACTTCAGTAATCCGGCTATACAAGTCACCGACCAGCTGATGAGATCTGGTTTTCTTTCAGAATTTAGCAGAATAAAGGTAAGAAATTACATTAAATATGTTTGTAATTAAAGCACAATCCACTATAAACATCCGCAAAAATGAGTTTCATTTAGTGAAAACCCTAGATTTAATATGGTACTATCTAGAACATACTTAATAAGTATGTTGTAATTTGCAACTGGACTAATGGTGTCTTTAACTAACTCCTCACCTATAATCAATCTACTATCTGATCGATTGATGATAGTCTATATGATAAAATATAAGTTCCCTGAAATGAGCCAGTCAGTTCAGTAGCCTTGACGCTATGACGCCAAACAATCCATTCTCTTCTGGGAGCGTATCCGTTTTGTGAAATCAAATATGCAAGCACGTCCTTCCTGTATAATTCCACGATCGATTATTGGGAATTTACCTGCTAATTTGTCTAATGTTTATATTGTCCTGTTGATGTATGTGTAAATGAAGCCCACATAGACGTGTGCTCGTTTTCACTTCTTCTCATTGATGACCCTTGGCACCACTCACTTACAGAAGAGTCCTACTTTATTCCGGGTTTATTTATAGCTTCATGTTAGACATAACAATGATCCCATATTTTTATTGTCTCTTTACTGTCTTTATCTGATATATAACGACCGAATATCGTCAGGATCACAGATTTTTCTGAGGTTCCGTACAATGTCCATTGCAAATGTTGTATGTTAAAGAATTAAGACAGTCACGCGAACTACACGCATACTGTAAACGAGTGGTATTTTCAAACTGTGAAATCCGTCAGAATGACCTCGTTATCGATCTGATCATCAGGAATTCCATCAAATGCGTTTGAAAGTAAGTAAGAGTCTCTCGGTATAACACGCTATAAATTGCAGTTCTTGACACAGATTCCCCAAAGTTGTACACTAATGTCCGTCTAATACCCTTCAATAGGACTGCAATTTATCTCATCACCCACAAAGCTTTTACATATAACGTATTTCCGCTGTGTAATTTCAACTTAAGACGCGAAAAAAAGGTTTCCGATTTATTTCCCAGCGAAATGACGTAGGATTAATACGTGTTTACTAGTCCATTTGATAATGGTGTCACCAGAAGCTGCTGTCACATCCGAGGATATAGTACACAAAAGGTTTTCCAATGAATGTGTTGTGTAAAACAAGTAGCGTGTGCTTGATAATCTGGACACTCTTTAGATTCTTGATATATAGAGCGACATCTTGTTAACATACCATCGACTCACTTTCTAATTACCCCGACACACTAGCTAGGTATAAACACAGCAGGGTCGTAATCATTTAACCATAATAAGTAAACCTAATATGCATAATTGTCTATAATGATTCAATGGTCAGACCTTATTGGTTTTTTTTTTTCAGGTAACTAAATAGGTCATGCTGAGAACAAAGATCAAGAACGTCTGTACCAAAAGTTGGAATTGAGGTTTTTCTGTGAATGTTAGAATGCGTGTGCTCAGTATGACCACTCTGTGTCGTAGGGTTGAGGGAAGAATCGTTCTTGTAACGACGTATCCCGGTGTCCGTCTTTTCTGTATGTCGATGAGTACCACTGTTCTCTGCCGTGATGTGTGCTGGTTTTGTTGATGTCCTGGGTTAGCCGTCTAAGTCAGTGCCAACTTGCCTGTAAAACACCAGATCAGATGTTCATGAATGACACTAGGAAATCAGAATACACAAACCATCATCACTCGATAATAAGGCACGGCAAAATGTGTACAGCAAGCAATAACCAGTGGGTAACATCTATTTCATATATAATACACAAGCTCTGCATTGATTGCATTCGACAAGAGTTTGTAATGAAGTGTCCTGAAATGTACATTCTCTCTCCTAAAGGAATCGTTACAAAACAATATAGCAATCGGTAAACTTACTTGCATTGTAAGCATGATTTCTTGTTTCAAAATTCAGTGACCCTATTAGACAAAGTATCCATACTAATAATACAGACCACTCTATTACAACCTTTAAAGAACTCCTGTTAATACATATAGCACTACTGTAAGCTTTTGTGACAGCATTACTCAAATGATTCGTGTTATGACATGATATGACCAGATAATGGAAGCTTGGGCACAAAAGAAAATTTGACATGATGTTTCCATTTTTTTTATTTATTCGATATCGAGATTTACGAAAATCCTTTTATGGTTGTGTTATTGCATCTCTTCATTTAGTTTTTGTCTTTTATTTCGACCAATTAAGGTTTCCTCATAAATACTTTAAATCCCTTGATTAACTGACGAGTCCAAGTTATTATTTCGCTATGTTGTGTCTACTTCTAAATATATATTGGAAGTGATATTCACTTACGTTCGTTAGCCCAACGAAGATTAACCTTATTTGCCAGTTAGGACCATTAGAAGCTTAAAAAATATAGATATGCAGTTCAAATTGATTATATAATATATATATTTAAAAAGTTGTATTGATACAAATGATTCATCACATTAGAGTAATTAACACAAAAGCGTTATCCTGAAATGAAGACAACCACATTTCTTTATAGATTGCAGAATGTTTGGTATGATCAATTCGATATACGTATTAACATTGGGTCACTATCTGCAAACACAGGGTAAATCATTGTAACTCGGAGAAGTATGACTAGGATCCAAAAATAAATACCAGCTAGTCTTATTGGATTGTTTCAGTGTCCCTTGTGTAAATAGAAACACATCATGCTTCGAATTGATACAGCAAATTAGCATATAGAGACAGTCAATGTCAGCATATGGCCAATGACATCCTTACGGGAGTGTAGTACAAACATCTATATATCACCTCCGCTAATTTGAGCTTATTGATCAAAACGTGATAAGAATCACAACTGACAGCATAACTCTATATTTAATCACTTATCATCTCTTTGATTCGTAGATATTTTAGCATAAAGTACGACAAGCATTAAAAGCTTATTCAACGTTTCCCACAACTGAACAGAGATATAATTTATTATAAATTCATAATGACATCGTCCTCACAGACACAGGTGCTTTCGAGAAATTGCCATTATTTATTACACATAAAAAATGAATCATTTTTAGAAGAAATACTTTCTGTGTGTGCTTTCAGTGAAACGTTAATGATCAATTGCTTTCAACGAGAGATCAAATATGATTTTATAACATTGCTCTTACCTGAGAACGTAACATTACATACTTGAACTGACCAATATTTACATGGCGGGTGTCGGTTGATGAAGCAGAAGGAGCTTACCATTCCGGAACACATTGCCTAATCTCCTTATACATTTTGGGTTTCTCTACGAAATCATTTGAAGTTATCTATTAGTATTCGAAATACAAATAAATATTCGTGATTGACTAATCCTTACCCTCCACAATCCATGAGACATTGTCAAGATACATTTTGGTGATTGGTAATAACGTGACGTGTCGGACATCTTTTTTTTTTTCTAACTTAGATGATCTAGCATTGAAACATCAGTGTTGTCTATTCTTATAAAGATACCAAATAAACGTGAGAAATCGAATGATAATGTTCGGTAACTACAGCGTATCGAGGCTCTAGCCTAGCCCAGTATCTTTGAAGAGAGCATTAGATAGAAAATACCATTTGGATGGAAAGCATAATGATTTAATGATTAGGGAGCTATGGATTTTCGTGACAGAACGGCCTTGTACAGCAGTAATAGCCATTGTTTGTTGACAAGCATAGATACCGTATGTAAGCACGATCTAGTACAAGACGAGAGGCAAAGCAACACGTTGTGTGTTAGATAACTAATGACATCCAGTTCAATATCAATTAAATTAGTAAACTATTTCAAATCAGTCAGTGTTATCGATGAACTATCTTCAACAGTGGTGAGTAAGGTGAAATCACTATAAGGCACAAACGATGAAAATGTTCATTGTATAAATATATGGTATTAACCAAGTATTCAATCAATTTTAATCTCTGAAATAGTTATGTTTGTTGTATGTGTTACAAGTCCTTTTAAATTGTAATCTTTGAGGTTTTTATGATCTTATTATTTTTTTCATTTTTCGGGGATCGAATATAAATCTATATAAAAGGCAATGCAAATTAGAAACGAAAAATAGTAGTCGATTTCATGACGTTGGTGAGATATCCATCAAACCATAGAAATTTGAGTCATAAAAAAAAAAGAAATCATTGCACTAACAGAGGAGGGTATTTCTGTAAATGCTTAATTTTGCAAGGTGATTTGATTCGTGTTTGCGCTAAATTCCGTTCACATATATTAAATAAATATACATTCACATTGTCGGTAGGCAATTTTCTGTACTTCATTGTGATGAATGAAAAAAAAAGATAAATTGGTCTCATTGTAAGTATGACCAAGGACATAGCCATCAAGATCCCCTGCCCATGTTCATTTGTCAAATATATATACATTTAAAGTGGGCAACATGGAAAACTGGAAAAGATATCAGCCAATCAGGTCACTGCATTAAATGAACGCAAAATCTGCCAATAATCACACTTGAATAAGGGGTTACGGTAATTCTACCAGGAAAGTCTCATCATAGTTAATTTGTTCCTTCAAAAGATAACGTGCGGAAAGTATTCAGTTAAGGTGCCGAAAGATATCAGCCAATCAGGTCACAGCAGTCTCATAAAATGTACATATGATTTGCCGATAATCGAACCTGAACAAGGAATTACGGTAATAATTCTACAGAGCAAATTTTCTAAAAATCTTATCATTCCTTCATGAGATAATGTGCAGAAAGATTTCTCAGAGTGACGGACGGTAAGACGGAAAGACGGACGGAAAGACGGACGGAACACATATGAATACCCCCGCCGCGGGGGATAATAAGTGAATAATAAGTTTGTATCAACTACTATGCCATGCGACATTCTTGTCTCTGTCTTCGAACAGGAACTCCAAACAGATAGTTAATATCTGTTAATGTCTAGTTAAACACCACAAAATCTGTTTTCATCTAACCTGTGTAATAGGGTCCAATCATTATGTTTTACAAGTGTTGTAGTGGATGACTGACTAGATAGAGATTTCTTCAAACAGATCAGTCAGCAAATATGTTTTCCTTATACAATAGTGTGACCGATTTATATATAAAAAACCCTGACTAGTGGTGGATATATAGTACAAAGATTGGATTAAAGGCAGCCGCATGAAGGTACAAATGCATAAGTGATGAACAACTTGCAGAAAGATCGGTATGGTAAGATCGGTGATTGTACAACTGGATAAGTGGTCTATTGCTAGTAGAAAGAACGGATTAACTGTGCTTTCATGGTAGTACAGCCGGATAAGTTGTGTATGGCTAATGGAAATGTCATCTTCATGCTGAAACAAACAGATTACAGGTAGATGGTAGCAATATCGAATTAAAGACGACGTAATGATACTACAAGCGGTTTAGTGATTTAACTATTGAGATAACCAGAACAGCGATTTGATAGTGGAACAACCAGATGTGTTATGATAATCAATAGATTTTCAGGAGTAGTGTTGACATTTCTAGCGATACAACCGGATAAGTGATGGCTGAATGGTAACCAAAACTGTTTGTGATGAAATGACACAACTAAACACAATAACTCAAAAAGGCAATATAAATTTTACTTTTATATTAAATTTTCTCCTAATCATACCCTGTTTATTTCGCAATTGAATAATAAACAATGACAAAAATAATGGTTTTTCGTCGATTATTGAAAACTTCAATGATAGTGCTAAGTATAAAGTAAACAGCACTTTTTTTTTTATCTTCTCGGTTGTATATATGTTCTAGATAAATCTATGATTCACTTCAATTAGCTGTGCGAGTGCTGCGTAATATTTTTTTCTGTATAGATTAAATTAGAAGCATTACAAAATCAATTAAGAAAGTCCGTTTCATTAATAGATTACCTTACAGAACGCCCCGTACAACCCTTGACATTTCCGACCGTTCAGCATGAAATTCAAGCACTCGGGTGATAATAACGTGTATGAATGGGAATTTAATATGCGTTCAGCAAGTTCTATTTCTGCATATGCTCCATAAGACTCCAGTTGCAAGATATAAAACCATTTCTTGGGGAAAATCAATTTGATTTTCAATTTCTTTTGCATAGAAATGTTTCTAAATTCTCTTAAAGTGCACATAGCAAAGCGACTATTGGAGATGATATCTCATACAATATCTCTCCAAAGAACATTGTCAGATTTCCATTGCAGTAATTTGTAGTTATAAATGAATTTCAGAATACGAAAGTGATTTTCTGCTGCTAAGGGAAAATTATTAAATTTCTTTGGGTGGTAATGTTAGTTTTTTTATTAATTTACGAGAGAATTCAACACATTTTTGGAATGTTAAGTTTGACGCTATCTACCACTACCTATGAAGGCATAGTGCCATTGTTTCTGGTAAATACAGTGTACAGTATCACACAAAAGTAACTGTGGATATACGCCTACTTGAGTTCAACACATAATGAAATCAAGCAAGCCTGCCAAACTTCACGAATAAGTCATACAAGAATGTACAACCAATATCTTAATATCAATTGACATTTCCTGATGCCGACGATTTGATTTTCTTTTGTTTAAATATAATGCCATAAAGCATGAATCATATTAAGTGTTAATTGTTTTTAAACGTGAGAACAAAGCAG